ACCTACACCACGCCTAGGGATATTTACACCACGCCTAGGACCACCTACACCACGCCTAGAGACATCTACACCACGCCCAGAACCACTTACACCACGTCAAGGGTCACCTACCCGAGTCCAAGGCCCACGACCCACGGTCCCACGGGGCCGTCGTCGTACCTGCCGCCGAACAGCGAACGACCGAGCACCCGACCGGAGCCGTACCTCCCTCCCTCGAGCCCGACGCCTCCGCGCGTCACCGTGACTCCGCCCCCTCCGCCCACGCCCATCTACACGCTGACGCCCACATCGACCGAGTACACGCCTCCGCCGACCGGCAGCCCGGCGCCGCCGCCTACGCTCCCGCCCACCACGAAGCGGCCGCTCGGCTACTTCTACGAGGTGCCGGAGAATCCGCTCGAACTGCCGCCGTTTGTCCGATGATGGGCCGCCGTCGCGGGCGGTCCCAGCGAACTGCGTGTCATTCTTTTGTAATCTCGTTTTTTTTACGTACGAACCCCGCGTTGTAAAGTAAGAGCTATTTATGGTGGCGCCAACGGGAGACGAGGCGTCACGGTGCAGCATAGATCGCGCCACGTCGATCATAGATCGCTGTGATCACTAGGGACGGATTTATGTCGTACGGCGTGTCAAGGTTATTTGTCGAGGACCCAGCCGCTGTAACGTTTGTGAAAGCCGAATAAAAAGTATCTTGGCAAGCCACCACCGTGAACCGTCTTCCACGCGTAACCGGAACGTTCCGATTCGGTTCGTGTCGAGCATGTAACCGGCCGGTCAATAAAGTTTCTATGAAATGGTAATCGTTGTATATCGTTGTACCCGCTGGTGCACGCTGAAGTTGGAAGGGAGATTTCTACGGGGTGTCCCGAAAATGTACCGCAATCCGGAAGAGGGGGCTTCCTGAGGTCATTTCAAGAAACTTTTTCCTTTGCGGAAATGTTCTACGAGGCTTCGTTTACGAAATTATTTTAGTACTACGAAGTTATTAACGAAAAACTGTGACCAATGAGAGAGCGAGGGCGGAGCGTGGACGAGCAGGGGCGTGGCGCCGTATGTTTTTCGTCAATACATCGTAAACGAAGCCGCGGATCGCATTTTCGCAAAGGAAAAAGGTGCTTCAAATGACATCAGGAAGCTCCACTTCCCGATTGTGAGACATTTTTGTGACACCCTGCATTTCTCGCTGCTTCGAACGATGTCACATGTTGACTCGCCAGTAGATGAATTCTTCTTTTCCGCAAGTAACCGATCTGCCTCTGTTTGTATACATCATGTTCCATAATTTTGTTATCACTAGGACATTTGAAACAACTTTTTCTTTTGCGAAAATGTTCTACGAGCCTTCGTTCACGAGTTATTAACGAAAAACAGTGATCAATGAGAGTCGAGCGCAACTGACGCGATGCGGCCTCGCCAACCAGCGGTCGACGCCCGGCTCCGCTCTTTGGCTCCTCCGCCTGGCGCCAGCCGCGCTCGTCTCTCATTGGCCAGTGCTTTTTCGCTGATAACTCG